TACTAATTTGGCCGGAAATGTTTTGTGGGTCTCTGCTAGTTAACCTAATTTTGCTAAGAAATTGCTAGAACTAGACTGCTTGTAATATGTAAATGTGTGTAAACTTGAAAGTTACTTCTATGAAAATATAACCAAATTCTATAATAACATAAAGTTAATTAAACCTTTTATAGAGGTGTAAGAAACAAGTTTCAATCCTTTGAAAATTTCTGAACAAACTAGTTAACAATTTAAAGAAAAAGTACAATAAAAATCTGAAATGCTTTTTTAACACACCTGAGGATGTTGATTTGTTATTTTTCTATGCTAATATACTGGACATCGGAACTTCTTGGATGCAGTAACCGATTTTCTGATACTCTTCATGTTGCACTTTCATCTTAGTTTTGTTTATTTTAATCTTTGAATATTAACAAAATCTTAAAACTACTGTAATAATTTGTTGTATTTATAGTTAACAAGATAAAAATTTTATTTTCCTCTTGGCCTACTTTCCGATGTAGCCAGTGGCCTAATAATTATTTTATATACTCAAGTGCCAAACTAAGCATGCCTTACTAATTTTATGTTAGCAGTTGACAAGCTTAATATTGTATGCTATAGCTAACAAGACATTTTTTTTATTGTAATTTTTCAACTTAGTTTACTGCATACCATCAAACATTCTTAAAAAGATACACAAGCTTTCAATCCTGGCTAGCTGTTGGTAATGTTTAAGTTGGATAAGTGGCTTGTCTCAAGCAGAAGTCTCGAGTTCCTGAAGAGTGGGAATTTTTTGTACAAGTATTTTAATTATTTACTCATCATGTTAGAGAATGATACAATATTAGGAGAAAATACAATAACATGATGTTTTAAATAAGGGATTGGAATTATTTGTCAACATTGGATTGCAAAGACTGAGTGTCACAGTGGTTATACTAATCAACTTTAATGTTAACTTTTTTTATTATTATCATATTTACAACAAGCTCTTTGAATATTTTGAAAAAAAGAGAGTAAAATTATAGCTTAGATAAAGGATATCATATTACATAATAAACATGAGTGACTGTACATATCAAAAACAACTTAAATATCTTTTCAGTGCAATAGATGGCACTACGATACATTATTATTAATGTTTTTGTTTTTTTACCTTCTGTGAGCAATTTTTAAAAAGTTAGTAAAAAATCTTTAAGCATTTTTAATGAAAATTTATATCTTTGTGAATTTGTCCTTTACCTCAAATTCATTGCTTTTGTCATCACAATTAATAAATCACAAGGTCAGATATTTGCCGAGAAAGAATAGCTCTTTGAGAACCAGCTCTTTCCATTGTTCAATCTATAAGGCCTGAGCATAACATAAAATTATACACAAGTCAAAATTATAATCAAGGACCACTTACTGGAGATGACTAAATATACACAAAAAATGTTTTTGTGAAATACTAGAAAAAGGATAAACATTCTGTACATATATTGTTACTATAATAAATCTTAGAAAACGTGTTCATAAAACATCAACTTAGATTTAATTTTCAGAAGAAAAATGAATCAGCATTTACCATAATATGATGAACATTCAGCTAGTTTATAATAAAAGCATTGTTAAATATTTTATTACTTCTGGAAATATGCCTCAAATTACAAAATAAATTAACAGTTTGGAACTTAAGAACATGAGATTTTCTGTGTGATAGCTTGCATTTTATCTCCATACTTTTCTAGTGAGATATTTAGTGTGTACAACTTCCTTGATCATAAAAAACAAGGTGACAAAACAGACAAGAAATTAGGAATAAAAAAAACAAAAACCTGTGCTCAAACCATTTTCCAATAACCAGTAAAAGTCACCTGAGTAGTGAAGTTAATGTTTTTTTACATCAAGGTGGGAACAGTATTTTTGTACCAGCTGAAGCTTCAGAGACCATCGTAACTAGAAAGTGATTAACTTTAAAGATATGTATGCTCTTGACTGATATACCATACTCTACTGCAATGGTGATATGACATAGACAGCATGAATTCTTAAAAAATAAAACAATAAAATTAAGCAGTGATATCTAATTCCTATTCTTCCATGATTTTACAAGAATGCAAAAATATTATTATTTTAAGAAAATCATTTTCTTCAAAATCTACGTATACTGTGATGGTATTATTATTGTTGCTATAACATAACCAATCCCATCCTCAAACTAGTCAACTCTAATAATGCAATTAATTGTTAATAAAACATTTCAATTTTGAGTGAATATTGATTATTTTTAATAAAAGTCTTTTTTTTTTCAGGTGGCATTAGTTTTTTTTTCAGTTTAAAGTAGATGTTTCACAGTTTTTGCTTTATATTGAATTACTATCTTTTTTTTCAGTCAGTATTTTAAAGATTTGAAGTACAGTGTTTTATTTTGGATAAACCTCCTTGAGGGTTCAAATCTAATATGAAAATTAATACTCTACTCAAACTAAATAAGGCAGCTCTCGAAATATCACCTCTTGGTCTCTTTGTGCTAAGAATGCAAGGCATTTGGATTTTCTAAATTTAACTAATTACTTCTTGAGAATTACACTGGTATGTACTACTGTTTGAAACGATATACTAAGTGTGTGTGTGTATATATATATATATATATATATATATATATATATATATATGTATACTTACACATTCACTATACATTTTCAGACATTGTTATATACTAGACTTTATTTGAACATTCCAAGAACAGCCTTTTATCCAATAACAAAACAAAAAATGCATTTCCTTTGGCTTAAAATAATTAACTGTAAGAAATTAAAATCATTTAAAAGATTATAATGATATTTTAATATTTCATCAGTTCTTACAGTGCCTAGGGTTTCAATATACCATCTGTACATGTAGTTGTAGTGTTCCATGTTTGTGAGTAAAGATGTGCTCTGTTCTTTCTTTAAAAGCATTGGTTAGTAACTTTAAGATGTCTGTTTTTATTATGTTTAACTTTATTATTTTTGTATTACAAAGATTATTTTGCATTGTTAGCTTTGTATATAAATTTAGGATTAATCTAAGTCTCCTAAACTGGACAAACCCTCTTGACATATTATTGGGATTATGGTCAACTATATCATTGAACAGTAAGGATACTCAACTAATGAAACAATGCATTTTAATTTTTATAATTAACAACAGCATAATTAATTAGCTATACTCATAACTCGTTATTAAAGTCTATATTCTACACTCCTAATGGTCAATAAACGTTTTGCACAGATTTTACCTGTCTACAGAAAAGAAAAGGGTGGAAAATACAGTGTATTTTTAGTTGGACTTTCTCAGTTTTTGTCTCATTATGAAAGAAATGGTTTAAACTGAGATTTCTGTTCACTGTTAAGTCTAAACATACATTATTATCGTTGTCTTTCTAAAGTTAAAACTCAAAATAATAACTATTACACAAAATCTAATTTTTAAAGAACAAATATATTTAATTACTTTTTTCTAAAATTCTTCAAAACATACATCTTTGATAACTAGTAAATATATTGCATTTTTAATCAACATTTTTTT